AAATGCTCACAGGCATTATAGCAGCTGCATTTTAGAAAGTCAACTCTGGTAGCAGAGATGGTAGGTAGGCTGGGGTGGTCACTGGAACCCCAAGAGAGTCGCACATGCGCCAGGACGAGGCATGCTCAGCAGGGACCCAGCACCCTTCTGAGCACAAGCTGGCTCTCCACATTAGTGACCCTTCCCCAATGTGATGTTCAGCTTCAACGTACAGGTCATTCTGCTCTTGGGCACATGTATTATCCTTCTGAGTGACTCTTGTTCCCTCAATTTCTCAAAGACTTTCATTTCCCATATTCTAATCCTGTGTTCTCATATGTAGAATAACCTCCATGGATGGCCTGGGCCCTGTATATGTATCAGCCTAATACCATCTGGGCACAACCAAAGCCTTCTAAGAACCTCTCACTTTGGTGCCACCCACATTCTACTTATTACCTTCTCAAATGGATGCCCCAACCAGGGGAAGATTCTTGTGACTAGCATCTCCCATATGTCAGCAGTGACTTTAAATTTCTCCAGGCTAGTGGACTGCCATTCAAGAGATCAGTTTCTGCAGCTGGATATGAGCCCAGTACAGCTAAGATCACCGGGATCCCTCTCCAGGAGCTCAAGGGAGGGGCTTACAAGAAGCTATGCAGGTCACAGAGTGAATTCCACATGATTCCTGTCCAAGTGCCAGGCTGCCTGGAATCTGACCCACTAGGGACGGCAGTTTCATGATGTGAGGTCAGCCCAGCAAACTCTGGAAGCTTAAGTGACACATAGATTATGTCTTGGGAGTAATGATGTCCCAGGTACTGGAACAATGGGCTTCCAATTCCATAAGCGACTATGGATTAAGGACAATGGTCCTTCCAGCTATGACAATGTAAGATGAAGATTCAAACCTTTTTCCTCGGACCATCTTTAGAGATGGAGTGCAGAGCGGGAAACGGAGGCTGGTAACATCTTGTTGATTCTCAGCCTTTAAATAGGAGCCCTAGTTGTTTTTGCTCAGTGGTTAGAGCGTCGGCCCTCAGACTGTAAGGTCTTGGGTTCAGTTCCAGTCAAGGGCACGTACCTCGGTTGCAGGGTCAATCCCCGGCCCTGGTCGGAGCACGTGTGGGAGGCAACGAATCAATGTGTCTCTCTCACATCGATGTTTCTCTCTCTGTCTCTTCCCGTCCCTTCCACTCTCTCTAAAAAATCAATGGAAAAAATATCCTCAGGTGAGGATTAACAAAAATAAATAATAAATAAATAAATAAATAAATAAATAAATAAATAAATAAATAAATGAATAGAGGTGCTGAACACAAAGGCTTCCACTGCTCCCCGACAAAGTGACCAAAGCACAAGTCCACACAACAGGCACTGGATAAATGCCCACCCAGGGGATGCCACACTGTGGTGGTGACAGTTAAAGGGACTGCCTGTAGGTGGTGAATACACACAGATTCCTCAGAGGCCATGTATCCCGTGACTTGGTGACATCCCAGAGCAAGGCCCTTCACTGTGTGGTTGCTTCTGTGGATGGAGAACAAGGGTGGGAGGAAGCCAGTCCATCTTCAGTCTTCTCCCTAAACACCCTGGGAGTTAGTCTGGAGAACTGGGAAAGGCCAGAAGGTGTGATGAAAAAACTCCAATTGTTTCTGTTTCATGAAGGTTGACAGGAAGACTAAATGTTGAGAACCCTTTCCACTTAGGAACTCTCCACGTTATTTCCTGGGATTCCTTTGAGACTCCATGCTGTAGGGTCCCAGCTCAAAATACAACCACCTCTGCCATCACCACTTATCAGGGACGCAGTGTGCCAGGCACTGTACTAGGTGCTTTGCAAGCTACGTCTATTTCTCACAGCAACCTTGTAAAAGAGTTATTAGGATGCCCATTTGTAGATGAGGAAGTTAGATAACTTGCTCAAGGTCACATAGTAGATAGCAGACCTTGGTTCTAAAGAGTCCTGAAACCAAAACGTATGTTCTTTGCCCTCCATTATATAACTTTAAACTTTGCCATATTAATGACAGCAGTCCTGGGTTTCCATAGTCACCTTCTACCACACGCACGGAGAAGTCTAAGGAAGGAAGGCAAGGACAGGGTCCCCTTTCTACACTCTTAATCGTATACCTGGGAGGAGGGCCACAGTCTCTTAGGTCCCTGTGCACATAGGTGGGAAAGGTGGAGTTGGTTGCACCAGCCAGAAAGCCTGGATCCTTGGGGTCGGTGGGCCTTGTTGGATTGGTCTCAGCACTGCAACCCAAGCTCCCAGAATGTCTGAGTCAGCAGGGTCCTGAGAGATGAGTAAGCTCCCGTCAGGTGACTGGTGAGGAAACTGACCCAGGAGGAGGACATGAATTACTCAAAGCCTCACAGCTATTTAGAAGCATTGCGTGTGCATGAGTGTGTGTGTGGGGGGAGGTGTGTGTGGGAGGGTTGTGTGTCTGTGAGTGGAAATGGCAGTGGGGTAGCCTAACTCCTAGGCCTGTGAATGAGTTCAGGTGAGAAGTCCTTGGAGCCTTTGTCTATATCCAGAAGGGTGGCCCACAAAGAAGGCTATTTTAAAATTTTGTTTTGTTTTAATATAAGTAGTTTATTTGGCACAAGGTAACTCTAAGAAGTGTCAATAGGGGAATTGGGACTGAGACACAGAAAAGAAGGAAGCCAACACAGGTTCATTAATGATCAGGTCACTGCTTTGGCCAACTGGGGCTCCATCACATTGGGCACTTTGGGGAGGTGGCATGGAATGTGCCTTAGAGTTGTTTTGCCTGAGGGAGGAGGAAGCTGGTATATTTATCTACCAACCTCTATTGTTGTTGGTTGAGCCTGCTATTGAGTGGCATCCACTCCCCAGAACCTCTTGCCAAGCACACTCCAGCAATCAGGGAAAACTAAAGGCTACTTTAAACGGTGTCTGCAGCCCTGAGTAGTCACTGGCTCTCTAAAGAGTCCTGAAACGTTTTGGGTTGGGGAGGCCTTGGGCATCAGTACCAAAAACAGTTGCAGGTGGGACTAGATGTTGTCTTCCAGAGGCCGGTTGTGCTCACAGAGGGAAGGGGCTGTTTCCATGTGCCCTGAAGGGAGAGTGGACAAGAGGAGCTTTAAGCAAGAGGAGTTCAAGTTAGAGTTGTGAAAGAACCTCCTGGTGATACTAGTTTAAAAAACACACACATCTGATATCTAGAGTTCACCCAACTATGTAGCTTCATTGGTGGCCACACAAGAAATGACAGAGCAAAGGAATATGCCATAGCAAGGAGGGGTGCCTTAGGGAGTCTGAGGCTCCTGGTTCCAAGGCAATCCAATGAGCTCTCCTTTATCGGGGGGATGCTGGGAGGACAGATGGAGGTTTAGTGAAGAGAGGGCTCTTCACCCTGCCCTTGGTTATTCTAGCACCAGGGGCTCCAAAGTTGGGTGAAAGCAATAGCAAAAGGTCTCCTCTCTGGTATGATTTGGGGCATCTTACATGGAGGCAAAGCCTTGGAAGAAATAAGCAAGTCCTAAGGTTGCCTAGCTCTCTAACTAGGGCCACCCCACCTCCCTGCACCCCTGCTCATTTGTGAAAAAGGAGATTGGAAGACTGAACTAGATGACCTCAGGGTCCCTTCCAGTTCTGACCTTCTGTCACTGTCCACTGCAGAGGCCATCCTCTGGCCCTTGGGTTCTCTTCAATTCTGTCATCAGCAAATATTTATTGAGCACTCATCCTTTGCCCAGCACTAAGTGGGAGGAAGGGAATCAGATGGAATACAAGCTCTGGCCTCTGGGAGGGGACTGATGAGAGAAACAGGAGTTAATGTTTATCGAGCACTTACTCTGCCAGGCACTGTGCTAAATGCCTTACATATACTGACTCCTTGACCCACACCCCAATCATAACCCAGTAAGGTAGGTACTAGAACCTCCATTACACAGATGAGAAAACCAGGGCTCAGAGAAAAAGCAACTTGAACAAAGCCACACAGTGGCAGAGCTTGGATTTGAGCCCACAATGCTTCTCCTCCTCTGTGAAATAGACAGTGACTCTCTAAGTGCAGGTCCTAGTATTCTAGCAGATAGAGCAGCAAAAGCTGGAGTCACCTGGGAAGGCTCCATGGAGGAAGTGGCTTAACACTGAGCCTTGAGGAAAGTGCAGAATTTGGAGGCTGACTGGGGAAGGGAGCAACCTAAGTGCACTAATGCTCCAGGGCAGGCTGGAGTGTGGTGGTCCAGCTAGCAGGTGTCTTCTTATAGTGGGAGGATAGGTAGCAACTACAGGTCAGCTTGCTTCAGGGAAGAAGAGGAAGAGTGAGGGAAGAACAGATGCTTCCCAAACCCAGCAAAGCAAGAACCATCCTCTTCATAGACACAGCCCACAAAAGCTGGCATCCACCTGCTTTGGGGGCCCTTTATGCCCCAACCGGGCAAATAAGCATCCCCCAGACACGTTTGGACAAAAGATGGAGCTGAATCAGTGTGGGTCATCTTCCTCCAGCTACCTAAGCCAATGGCCAGAGAGTCAGCCCACTGATAATTATGATAGTTAATACTTATACACAGCAATTACCATGAACCAAGCACTGTTTTAAGAATTTTAGCTAACTTAAGCCTTCCAACATCCCTATGAGGTAGACACTATCATTATGCCTATTTTATAGATGAGGAAATAGGTACAGTGAGGTTAAATAATCTGCTCAGAGTCCCACAGCTAGTAAGAGGCAGAGCCCACATTTTAACCCAGGCAGTCTACTCTTAACCTCTCTGCTCCTCTTCTTCCAAGCAGAGGTTCATGAGCTCTGGCCATAGCTGCTTCTTCCCTCTGTGTGGGATACCAAGTATAGGTCCTCCTTCTTGCTGGGGCTATTCCCTGCCAAGATAGCCCTTCCCTAGAGGGGATTGCAGGAGACAGCTTCAGCAGCCCCCACCACTAGAAAGGCCCATCGCTGCCAGACTGCCCGGTTTCTCCCCCACCCCTGTACCCACATGCACCCTGTCCCCCTCTTCCCCAACCGAGCACCGTTGCCTTTTGTTCACAGTGACGGCTCCTGCGCCCAGGCCAGTGGGGGCATGGAGGACTCCGTGGTGGCAGCAGCAGCCGTGGCAGCCGGCAGACCCAGTGCCCATGCCCCGAAGGCTCAAGCCCAGGAGCTGCAGGAGGAGGAGGAGCGGCCAGGGGCAGGGGGTGCCTCCCCGAGGGCTGGCCCGCACCGTGGGGCCTCCCCTGGCCGGCAGCAGCCTGCCCTGGCAACAGGGCTCTGCTCCCACACCCCTGCTGCCTCCGATTACGAGCTCTCCCTTGACCTAAAGAATCAACAGGTACCCAGGGCCTCCAAGGGGGGTGGGAAGGGTGGTGAAGGGGCTGTGCCTTTGGGAGCTGTCCAGGGTGCCAGGGATCTCCCCATCTGGGCCCTCTTCTGCTGCAGCGACACCCCTTTTGCACCAGTTCTCTCAAAATGAGCTAAGTAATCCGCCCTCCCAGCAGCCCAATCTCCAAAGCAAGCAGCCTCTACACAGAAGGGTCACATTCTTGCAATGTCAGGCCCTTAGGCAGTGTGTCCAGGGCTCTGCTCCTCTCACCATGTGCAGGACACCTACACTGACCCCCAAAGCATTAGGCAAGTGGCCCAGTGTTCTCTGGGGAAGTCCCACTCCACTTCCTACTTATAAGAGATAGCCCAGCTTACGTGCCCACTCCAGAGGCAAGCCCCATGCCTAGGTGCACACAGGCTCAAACGAGGTTCAAAGAGTGGTCTCCTGGTAGACTGAGGATTCCCAAGATTAACCCAGATTGGGAGACGCCCAGAGCTCCCCTATTAGAGAACAGGTTCCGTTGAGGGGCCCTAGGCCTTACCTTCTATTCTGTGAAGCAGGAGAAAGTGGTCAGTCACAGGGTCCCCAAGTGATATTGCCAGTTTTTCTTGGTGGACAGTTAACAGACCAGAAGTAAGATCTATGTGTGTGTGTATGTGTGTGAGCACACCCATGTGCACACGTGTGTGAACATGCTTAGAGAAAGATATTATTACCTGATGTTGTTAAGAAAGAGCCTTGAACTTGGAGCCATAGTTTGTCCTTGCTCTAGTTAACTCTGTGACAGCAGGAATGCCAGTTACACACTCTGAGCATTGGTTTCTCATCAGCAAAATTGGGAATCTGATCTTGAGTCATCTCTCAGGTCTCTTTTGCTCTGAAATGAGTAGATTCTAAGGAACCAATCTTTAACCCAGTGGACAGGTCCTTGGGAAAGGAAGCTAGTAGAACAGTTACTAAGACTGAGCCAAACCAAACCAACGTCATGTCTTTCCTTAGGTGTCAATGCCAATCTATTATCCTGGATCGAGGCCAGCTGTAGTCTGGTGCATCTGGCTCTCACAAAGTATTTGACAAATTCTCTTATGATATCTATGTAGACATGATAGAAAGGAGATTAGATCACTATATAGTCAGGTGGGTTGTTCTCAAACAGAATTCTCAAAAACCTTTATTTTTCCATCAGTGCCAATTCCTAGGTGAGTGGGACGCTATCCTTGGTCCTGTCTGGTTCAATAATTTTAATATGGCAGTACTTTCTGATGACACAGCTAATAGGGGACAGCTAATACCTTGATAATAGAATTCAGGACAGAAAGATGGTTTAAATGAAATAAATCAAATTAAATAAGAAAAAAATCTAAAGTTCTGCTCTTTGCTTTGAAAAGCCCACAGCACTAGTATAAGATGGGCAGGCTTGGTCCTGGGAGAAAGACCTTAGGGCTTCAATTCACTGTAAGCTTAAGATGAATCAACAGCTGGTAAAGCAGCTGCCAGAGAAGTGAGGACAGCAGCCTTCACAGAAGGGTAGACAAGACCCCAAAATAAGCGAGCAGCCGGTTGGAGCTCCACACTGACTACTGCTCAGGGCCTGTCTGGAGCCTGTCTGGGGCTACATTTGAGGGGGAAATGAGAATCCTGTGGTTATCCTAAGAAGGAAAACAGGATTGGCTGGAATCATATGGAGAAACTGTAGACATGAAAACAATCTTTAAACATGGAAGAGCTGCCATGTGATAAAGGGACTAGCTGTATTTTCTATCATTCCAAACAAAAATAGTGGTACTAATGTATGAAAGCTATAAGAGAGGAAGATTTTAGCTTGGTTAACATCTAGAGCTGTTACAAACACAGAATGTCTTGCTTGTGAGGTAGTGAGTCCTGTGTTACTGGGAATTCCATGCAGCGGCTGGCACATGCCCACCGGGAGCATCACAGTGTGATCAGAGTGGCCAGTTGGCCTGGATGAGAGAGTCCTCTCAATTCCCCATGACTGCTCCTTGGGGACAGAGACAATCTCTTATTCATCTTTTTACCCTTCTCCTAGCATCTAGCAGAGTGTCTTGGACATAGTAAGAGCCCACTGAGTGAATATTTTTTAATAACTATGATATGCCAAGCAATAAGGGAGTGGGGTACAAAAAGAAGAGAAGCATGGTTCTTACTTGCTCCTCCAAGAGATTACAGTTCAATTTAGGGAGTATCCAGTTAATAACAGCAAAGGAAACTCATGCTTCGTCTTGGGCAGGAGAATTACTTTAATGCTGATGACTAGGTGGGATATGGAGAGTTGTATAGGTTCTGATTAGTACTATGGGCCTTTTTTATAGTGGACATAATTCTAATAGATGGGTTTGCATAGCAGGCCAGCAAGAGTGAGGCAAGAAAGGTGAGGGTTAGAGGTGGCGGGGTCCTCATGCTAGGTGGACCCAACCATGGGAAAAGCTCACCTCCCCGGCTCATGTATCTGTCTGGGCCAAGCGTAGGCTGGGGGTGGGAAGAAGGGGTAAAAGGGATTGATGAGCTAGAGCAAAGTGATTAAAAACATAGCACACATTTACTAAGAGACTGAGCTCTGCTCCTTTCTCTTCTGCAAATGAACTGTGTTACCTTGGGCAAGTTGCTTAACTCCTCTGGGCCTCCTTGTCTCATATCTCTTTGGGGTTTTGCCTCCACTACTGATGTTCCTACTCCCTCCATATTCCTGCACTTGGCCTCCATCACTCCTCTTTATTTGGGACTAACTTTTGGTGTTCCTCTCTCCCCCTGGCAGCTTTCCCCGCCATCCCTACACTGCGCTGGTCACCCCTTCTCAGCGGTCCCATAGCCCAGATGTTCCCTGTCATAGCCGTTCAGCCCTATATCATCGTTTCTTGTTTCCTTCGCTCCTTGAAAGCAGGACACTTGACTTATATCCCTAGTGCTGAACACAGTGCTTGGCGTGAAGAAGATGCTGGAAAGATGAAAAGGGGAAACTAATAACTCAGGGACCTGAAGGGGGGTTGGGATGGGCATGAAGCCTTCAGCCAAGACCTAATTCCACTTTAGCTTTCTTTGAGATCTAGGCTTTAGTATCCTGATCCCGTGATCTCCACCAGTCACACAAATCCTCATCGTCCCTGGGCTGGAAGGAATCTTGGACAGTCATCATTTCCCCAGTCCACCAGCCTGCCAGCCCTGCTCCACCCGCAGTCTAGGATCCCAGTCATTCCCTGAGGCTCCTCCCCCTCCCCTGCATCTTCTTCATCCCCATACCCACTGATGCTACCTCTTAACTATTTTCCAAATCCCACCCTCTCTTGCCACCCCTGCCCCACTCTAAGCCACCCCGCCATCATCTCTGGCCTGCACACCTGGGCAAACCCCCACGGATCCCCCTGCTTCAGGCTGTGCCTCTTCCAACCTAATCGCCACACTGCAGCTGAGTCCTCCTTACAAAGGGCACGTCTCATTATGGTACCCACCCCCCCTCGCCCTGCGTGAAAACCTTCCATGGCTCCTCATCCGTGTAGGACAAACACTTCTCCAGGCTCTTCTGCCACCCCACGTCCTGGGATTTTATTTCCTCTGCTGGGAATGCTCCCTACCTGTCCCCCAATCACCTTCCCCTGGGTGATCGCTCCTCATACTTCAAGTCTCAGCCCAGCTGTCCCTGAACCTGGCTGTGTGCTTTTACTGAGAGCCCCACTGCCGGCTCTGCACTGTCTGTCTGGTAGCTGCCCCACTCTAGGGTCAAGGTCTGTGTTGTTCTCAGAGCTATCACGGAGTTGAGCAGATTGTGCACTGAACACTTCCAGGGGTGCTATTCACTTCATAGGCTGTGTGAGGAGCAAAAAATCCCTAGAGCTGGGCACTAGGTGCTGCCCTGCCCTGGCCCACCATTGTTTTCCTACACCCAGTGCAGTCCCTGCCACTTAGGAAATGCTCAACATTGGAGGAATACAGAAAGAAAGAAAGAAAGAAAGAAAGAAAGAAAGAAAGAAAGAAAGAAAGAAAGAAAGAAAGAAAGAAAGAAAGAAAGGAAGGAAGGAAGGAAGGAAAGAAGGAAGGAAAGAAAGAAAGAAAGAAAGAAAGAAAGAAAGAAAGAAAGAAAGAAAGAAAGAAAG